CCGAAAGACACCACCGTACTCGCCACAATGCAACCCGGTGGAACGTGCAAACCGGACGCTAAAAACAATGATCGCCCAAAGTATAGAGAGGGACCACCGACGATGGGACCAGAAACTCCCGGAACTGGTCTTCGCAATGAACACCGCAGTACAGGAAAGCACCGGGTTCACCCCGGCCAGACTGACCTACGGACGCGAGCTCACTGCCCCGGGAACGATGCACGCACAATGCCAGCCACCACTAGCAGACGACACTAACGAAACGGACACCACGAGACGCGTCCAACAACTCGACAGGATGACAGAGGAAGCCGCGACCGCCACCGCACGACAAAGGGACGCCACATACCGCCAGGAACATTACTTCAACCTCCGCCGGCGGGAATGGCGCCCCACTCCCGGAGATCAGGTCATGCGCCGAGAACACCCGCTGTCGAAAGCAGGCGAACACTTCGCGGGCAAATTAGCACCAAAATACTCCGGACCGTATACCGTAGACCGCGCAATCTCACCGGTCATATACCGACTACGGGATCACAACAACCGACTGGTGGGGACAGCACACGTGAAGGATCTCAAGGGTGTATAACGGCACACAAAAACAAACAGAGCCGGGTATATAAGGGAGCGCTCGCACCGAACACCAAAAAGAAAGCTACAGCATGGGCAAGCTACGCGCACGGCTAGAGAAGATGGCTCCCAGGAGGAGAGCTCCGGGACACCCGCCAATACCGGGACTGACGCCGCAGGCTCCACGCTACGTGCCACCCGTCGAAGCGAGACCACGGACGGCCCGCGCCTCGGTGAGCGTCGAGCAACGCGGACAGGCACCCGCAGTCATACGGGCCAGGACGACCGTTTCCAGGCAGGAGCAACTATACCAAGCGGCCGCCCAGACAACAGCCGCCCTCGCCTCGGAACTCGACGCCCTATTCGGTTCGCTGTCCGACCTGGAGGACGAACCAATGGCCACCACCGAGCCAGCCAGAACAGCGACCGTAGCGGCGACGCCAGAACTCCCGACGCCTCCGCCGACACCCGCTGCGACACCAGAGCCGGTACCCGTGACGAGCCCAACGGCAGGACCACCTCCGGGCTACGGATATTTCACCGGCGACAACGGAGACGGGTTCAACGGCCTCCTGCGAGACGTACCCTGGCACCGCATCCGTCCAGGGCAACGCTACCGCCACCACACCGCCGGCCGCACCATCATCGTCAAGCGGCTACGTAACGGCGAGATCCAACTCCGCGAGCGAACCTAGAACATTGTCGAGGTTAATAAAGAATAGTGTTTGTTACGATGTCGGGATCTGCCAGGGGGGAGGTGTGACG